AAACAGTTATAACAGTAAATAACCATACTGAGTCACATTCAGGCACAGCCAACATTAAAGTGAAAGACAATGTCATTGTTTAAAAAAATGTAAATTGGAATTGGAGAAAACAGTGTTATTGTTATTGTAATTTTGTATAGAGATTAAGGCTATGCTTACCTTTCCTAATCCAATCAAGTCAGAAAGTGAACAAAAAGAATGGCCAACCCGATATTCAACAGCATGACCAGGACAATCATGACAGAATTAGGGCCCTGAAGGAGAAAACAGAACAAAACAAGCAGTGTTTCCATGTCAGTATGGCTGCTCTACCCAAAGCCAGCACTAGAATCAATTACCAGAAATAAAACATGCAAACATGGCTGAAGAAACTAAGGCATAAAAGGTTAACAGCCCTTCCAAAAGGTATGAGCTAAAAAACGGTAATGCTACGTTTAGATGGAGTCACTGTTTAACTTCCACTGAAAATTAATCTAGATTTGAATAAGTTAAAAACTATTTTCAAGTTGTGTGGGGTGGCACACACCTTTAATCTTAGCACTCTAGTGGCAGAGGCAGGCAGAGGTCTGTGAGTTCAAAGTCAGTCTGGTCTACAGAGTGAGTTCTAGACTAGCAGGGCTACATAGTGAGACCCCATCTCAAAAATTTATTTTTCTGAAATAACTTACTCTATTCATCCCACACAACTGGTGGCTTCATTTGGGAAAGGTCACTGGGAAGGGGTTGGGAGTTTGTGGGACTTAGATGCATAGCTGTCCTTCAAGTGTGACAGATTCAGAAGAGAAGGGCAGTCCTTCAAAGCAGTTAGAAAATAAGAATAAAAATCACAGGAATTTATTCTTCCAAGGAAAAATTCAGGAAAATACTCATGTGTTTTTGTTTTTATAGGTTTTGTGTATCTTAGACTGGCCTTGAACTTCTGATCCTCCTATCTGAACATCCTACTGTGCTGGGATACAGGTGTGTATCACTATGCCTGGTTTATGTAGTGCTGGGGACCAAACCCAGAGCCTTGTGCATGCTAGGGAAATTACCAAATGAGTTACAGGCTTAGCCCTCCCTGAGGTTTTCTTAATTCTTGCTTTTTGAAAAGGCCTTCTTCCGAGTCCTACTCCCTCCTCACAAATGGGCAGTTGGATACCTCAACTTCCAGAAGTTATTTTTACAGGTCTATTTCTTTGTTTCTTGACTGTAGAATTAAGCATATTAACCTAACAGTAGAATCCTATCAATAAATATGATCAGGTAACCCAAGGTCACCAAGCTTTTATTTGTTTAAATAAAGTTTATATGACCTAGCTATTCAGGTCTGGCGATGCCTGAAGAATTCACCTTTATTAGAAGTATAAGATCTTGGTATTATTATTATTATTATTATTATTATTATTATTATTTTATTATTAAAATAGCACAACTCTTAAACAGTAGAGTTCTAGACTGCCTTTATGTTGTATGTAAATTAATTGTCTTTTGGAAAATTTATTTTTATGTGTATGGATATTTTTCCTGAATGAATGTATGTGCTTGTGGGGATCTCTGCAAACACCATGGCCTCCAGAGTGGTGATCTGTGAGAGGCAAGAAGGCAGTCTGGCTCAACAGGATTAAGTAGCCGGTTTTGGTTCAAACTTCAAGAGTCTGACCTTGAGTAGTTTATTTTAGGAATATTTAGGCACAGTGCAATCTGGAAAAAGCTTCCTGGTGCTAATTAACTCAATCTTGTATGTACAACAAAGACTTGACTACACTGAAAAACTCTTAGTACAAGCACAAAAGATGGGTTCAACAGATTAACCGAAGAAAGGCTCAAGACGGGTGTGGGGAAGGATCCAGAGTGGTCTCAGCCACACTAGATAGTGCAAAGATTATCAGGCTTTATACCACTCTGAGTCTCCTAGGCAGAAAACTGCTTATACATTTCTCCGTTAAAAGAGACAACCTTCTGTGTTTAACTTTCCTGTGTCCCCCAGTAATTATCTGTGAACACAGCTCCTTGGTGCCACCTACATGTGCCCATATGCGTGCTTGGCTTGCAGATACCAGAAGAGGACTTTGGATCTACTAGTGTTACAAGTGGTTATGTGCTGCCATGTGGGTGCTAGTAACTGAACCCAGGTCTCCTGCCAGAGTAGCATGTGCTCTTAACAGCTGAGCCATCTCTCCACAGTCAAAATTAATTGTTCTAATTGAGTTTACACAAAAGGAACCAGTTACATGCTGAGTACCAAATAAGTTTGTGCTCAAACAAGATGACAGGGCATCAAATGTACCTTCTCTGGTGACAGGATTGAATAGTAAGGAAGTCTGCTCAAGTGTTCATTTTCCAGGCTGGAGCTTGGCTTAGGTCACCTATCACTGACTTGAAGGACATCCCTACCCTGTGTTGATGGGTGACGGCTCTCTGGTGGAGGTCAGGGTGCCCTGTGCTTTTTCTGTTGTAACACTTGCCACATTTTATTGCCATCTGTTGTTGCACTGTTATCTTCCCACCTAGACTCAGCTCTACAGTATCAAGGGCTTCATTGATACTGTTGATTTTGTCCTCACTATGTCCCCAGTGTCTGACTCTTGGGGTATCCTGTTCATCCATGCAGCCAAGGTTCAAGAAGAGCCCACCACTTACTAGCACTTCTCTAGGTGCTGGTGGCCTGGATGGTGAACAAAATAGGTGAACTTACTGCATTAAAGCACAGATGAATTGTTAGGTGGTGCAGGGGAACTGAAAACAGGGCCTTTTGAGGGAGGGACCACGAGGAAGAAGCCACCCCACCTCTGAAGCCCCAGGGAGATGGAAGAAAGAACAGGTTTTAAATGCCAGGCAGTAGACTAAGTATCTCTATTTATTCTTCACATGAGATTATTAGTTTTGTTCTAGAGGGGCTTCAATAGGGCAAGTGTATTAGAATATTTACAGACTATTTACGAATCAAGGTTGTTTAGAACCAGAATTAAATGTCAGGCTAGTCACTTGTATGGTTTAGGTTCTTTTCTCTAACCCTGCTAAAGCTCAGACCTTAGTTTAAAAAAGTTTCTAATGAAGTTCTTCAAGGTAACATTTTCATCTATATCCTGTAATTCTCAGAGAAACAAAAATCTTACTAACTTCTAACTACTTGACTAATAGGTAATCCGTGCATGGTGGTTTATGCTGCAATCTTAACACTCTAGAATGCTGACACAGGATGAAATGCCATCAGTTCAGGGCTAGGCTGGGCTACAGAGTGAGACTAGTTGCAATAAATGGTGAGTTCTATTCCTTGCAACTTCTCAACCAGGGCAAGCTTAAGACATAAAAACTCTTAGAGCTCAAAATACTAGAGATAATCTTTCAATATCCCATTTGGGCATAAAGAATATGGAAATGTTATGGCTACTCTATGCTTTGCTTAGACTTTATTCTTAAGTGTGCAGACAATCTGGGATTGCTTCAATTCTGGGCTAGTCCATTTAATTCCTCTTATAGATAATGGGGGAGCATGAAGGATGGAGAAAAGCATATTGGGCGAGAACAAAACCATATGGAGTTCAGGGTCTGAAGAGGATGCAGGACAAACAGAATCACCGAGTGCCTTTGAAACCAACATCAAAAACTGAAGATAGGGGTGGTGTGTAATGCAGAGGCAGAATACCAACCTAGCATGTACAGGCAGGCCTTGGGCTCAATCCCAGCAAGAGGATAAACAAAACAAACTTAAGCTCTGTGTGAATTCTTTAATTCTCATTGCATAAACCCTGATAAGGTACTATGAGTTTACATGAACTCTTTTGAATTGATTAGTATTCTGGGTTTGTAAATTGTTGTGGGTTGAATTTAGCAATTCATTTACTATCTTTCTTCAAAGGTTTGTCCCACATCTCATTGTGCTTGTAATCTGGCATCAATGAATAATGAATGAAAAATACATATGTATTTCCTACTGAATACATATATTTATCCTGTATATTCACTAATATGCAGGCATATTTACCCTACCAGTGTAGCTCTACTTAGGAAGTTATTTTAAAAGATGACTCGGAAGATGAGCATAGACCAATAATGGGAGGCTCGAGCAGAAGCCAGGTGAAAATGGAAATCTGGGATGCTCTGTTTAAGAGGCAGGTAGCAAGCTGTGACCTTGGTTTTCTTCAGACACCTTAGGCAGGCCACAGGGTGAAAAGCTTTACGGTGGAGTCCCATAAATACAACTGTGGCGGCCAGTGGTGGCTTAAAATAGCAAAATGAAGAAAAGCTTAGTCCTATTTGCCCAGACTGACTGGGACAGGTGTGACAGGGGAGCAGCAGCAAGGCTGATGCTAAGTACAGATCAGAAGAAACCTTCAGGCAGTTAGGAAAATAAAACAGAGGATGTCAAAACATGAGAAGATATTTAGCTCAAGTTGACCCTGCAGGGGCCACAAGTTTCTCCTGGGGGGCTACAATCCTTCCAGGAGCCTGCCTCCTACTTCTTGTGTTTGTTAAGTAGTTAATTTTCTCTAAGTGTTAGTCTGTGTTCCAGAAGACTTTCTACATTTTCTAGATCTACATCCAGGGTGAACGTGAAGAAATGGAATGTATGGAACCATTTATGAACTATTTTCATGTCAACCAGTATGTTACTGATAATGACAATAATAATGCCCTCGGAGCATTTACTCTATTCAGTATTGCATTAGGAACATAACAATTTCTCCTGCTGCTCACCGAGAGCACTGGCTGATTTATTATGGGCATCCACTAAAGCTTGCTCTTGTATGGATATTTCTACGCATTTTAAATCATTCATTATAAACTTTGAACTTGCACAGTGCTCTTGATTTCTCAGAACAGTAGGTAGCACTCCACTGTTTCAATGGTCATTCACCGACTACTCTGATAGTGATGTGTGTCACTTCCTAACTCCAGTGAAGAGGGCTGGCACTAGAAATGAAAGGCAGCTCCCTGCTGCTATTAGGAAGGCAGCATTTTCACAATGAGGGTCAAGCCAATCCTGCCGTCTGAATCTGGATGGCCATTCACAGGGCAGCCTGAAGTTCAAGGGTGAGGCACGGCTGCTGAGACCATCTCATATATATGTAGCTTGGATTTTGATCAGTGAACCCGAGTTCTGGTTGGATTTGATTAATTTATATTTAGCTAATGAAAAAGTGAAAAACAAAAAAATAACCAATGTTATATGTACATATATTAGCAAAAATTAACATAATTCAAAAGATGAATTTTAATTGTTTAACACCATGAATACATGGAACAAAACTAAGAGAGTGACAGCTAGTCTATAATCTACTTGGCCAGGTTTCCAGTTCAAACTTTTATGTACATGTTTCTGAAACTGTTAGTACCCATCAAGAGGCCATGTCCATCTTACTCCCTGTGTGTTTCACAGTGAACCTGACTGCCCAGAGGCATACAGGACTACGCTAATGAATCATTTTATTTTAAGTCACTCACTTTAAAAAAAGATTCTAAAAAAAAAATTCAGATCCCATAAATCTTCCAGAATAAAATCTGATAAAATAAAAGCTGATAAAATGCCAGTTCCATATGGTCCTCACCAAAGCAATCTCATGTCAAGGGCCATGTAGTAGACATTTATCAATAACACAAATCTTACTGGCCAAAAAAAAAAAGTCTCATCTGTCCAAGACACATCAATGGTTAGTAGCTATTAGATAGCCGAGTCTGAAAGTATTCATACCCTGGAGATGAGTTATAAAGTAATTATGTTGTAAAAAGATTCTCACTTGGGAAGAAAAATATTCTTATTGCAGAGTCTGGCTCATTAAGTAAAATACAGACTGCATATTTAAGAGAATTTACAATGGCTGCTTGTGACAATCCTTTGTGTAAAGATAAGGAAGGCTTGGAGCTCTTTGTTGCTAAGCAGAGAGGCACCGGCTGTGGGAAGTGGCCATGTTTCCCTTCTAGGGGCCACTGAGCAGGTAATTAAGAACTTACCAAGACACACTGATAGATGGTTTCTAACCTGTGAGACCATCCTAGGCTGGCCAGGTGTTAGTCCTATCTGAACTGTTTACAGTGGGTGGCTGAGTAGGCTCAGGATTCCTGTCCAGAGAACTCTTTGCTATCATGAGCTATAAACATGTTCTGCTCTGTTCTAACAACGTAGTGGACCTTTGTCAGCCCAGCTGTGGTCAAGATGGAACATTACCCACCCCATACTGCTCCCTCAACAAATCCAAGGGAAGGGCTCTTTTGAGACTTACTGAATTGGCTTCTTTTTCCGAAGAAGGGCAGGGATCGCTGCTTGCTGGATTCTTTGGTATAGCAAGTTCAGACTTCTTGGCTTTTGGCTCAGCTTTGCTTTCTTTGGCAACTGATTTTGTCACAGATTTAGGGGGACTCCACTTGTTAGGCAATGGCCTGTATACCAATGCTGAGGAAGACTGGTTGGCTCCGCTGTCATCCTCCCCATCTTCTGGAGGATGCTGGGGCGTGTTCAGTTTCACATAGTAGCCATGATACTGAGAGTGCAGCTCCCCATTGCTGGGGTTGGGGACATGGTGGCGGCCAGAGTACTTGGACACTGTTGCTCCGAGTTCCTTTGAAGGAGCCTTTGACATCAAGGGCTTATTGACAATGGCTGTCACCTGCTCCTCAGTCATACTCCGTTTATCTTGACTAAGTCTTGCCCCTGAGCTGGGGTTTTGTTTCTTCGTGGGCTTTGGGGAGGAAGGTTGGGGGGAGTGGCTCTGTTTGGGACTTGCCTCAGGAGACCTGGGTGGTGTCGTGCCTTTGCGATAAAAATGTGGGGATTCCTTTGGTGATGGTGGCTTTTCTGGTACCTTTTCTTCTGGATTTTCTTTAACATCTACCCCCTCCTGAAACCTTTGTTTGATATAATCAGGGCCTGGAAATGAGGAACAGAAAGAAAAGGAAAGTGATTAAAAAAAAGTAAGGTGTAAAGGTTTGCAATCTAGGTGACTATCATTTTGCTAAAAGAGATCCATGTCCCTCCTTTTCAAGATATTTATAAGGTGTGAGCACATTTCAATGTCTGAGGAAAAGATTACTCCTGGAAAATGCTTTCAAGACAAAACTTGTCACTATAGTGACATCCATAAAATATAAAGAACTTTAGACTTCTCCAATATTTCTATTTCTTATTGGAAGAACATGGTTGTTAGGTGTGGAGCAGGACTCATGTTGGTAGATCTTCTAACCAACAAAATTTATTTACCCCAATTAGGTGGTATAATCAAAATATGTACAGCATTAACTTGAATAAAGAAATAAGCTTGTTTTTGTCTGATCAGAAGTTTATAGAGATCTGCACTATACAGGGTGAGCCTGCTGAGAAGGTAAGTATTTTTAACCAGTGCCAAAACTTTTTGGTTAGGACCAACTTCTGCCTTTAGACTGAACACTTTGGAATAACTTCCATGTGGTCCATTCTCAGCAGGGACATGTTACTAACACTGTCTCCAACAAGACAGTCGCCTCTGGCTCTATAGCCTCAGGTTTTGTGTTAGATTTTTTTTTTAAACATACCTCAGGAACATATACAACATTAAAAGAAATCAACTTAAAATTATTTATTTTTGGAAGTAGAGACTAGAGAAAGAGGTCAGCAGATAAAGTGTTTTCTAGAAAAGCATGAGGACCTGGGTTCAGGCATCAGAAGTGATGTCACAAAAGCCAGGCATGGTTGTGTGAATCTGCAACCCTGGCACCAGAGAGGCATGACGGACACACAGGCTCACGAGGCTTTGCTTAAATAACTGGTGTGTCCCAGGTCCTAGTGAGACTTTGTCCCAAAAGAAAGCGGATGGCACCTGAAGGATGACACGACACTGTTCATTGGTTTCCACATGCACACGTGCACACACACACAGACACATACCTATAGACATTCACATACTTAAAAAACAACTGCTTGCCTGTTTTTTTTTATATTGAACACACCATAAAATAAGAGGGTTCATGGCATGATGGCACAGGTTGTGAGAGTTTACTGATGGCTATGATCTAGAAAGGGTGGCTGCTAGGGAGTCGAGACAGCTCTCAACTGTGGTGCCTTACTCCTGGGTGTGTTAGCTCTTGGCCCTTCCCCATAACCATGTCATGTGCTACCACTCTAAATCTCATAAAGTCAAAGCCACATTCAGCAGAACTACCATTTTCTTGTAAATGGGTCAGAGGTAACACACTTTCACACATCAATAAGAGAGAAACCAGAGCCACTAGCTTGCTAAGGGAGCCAACCAGCTCTTGCCAAAACCATTTCATCTTCATTTTCTTCCCTGTGTCCAAACCCATCTCTCCTTCCCAACCAACTAAAGACATACAAAGGGGCTAAAGACCAACTATCCTTAATTGCTAAAATATACTTGCATGTTTACACTTTTAATTGCTCTTCCATTGTAGTTAAGTTAGCAAATTATAGTAATATGGTTGCTATTTACTTTGTAAACCTTTTTTTTTGTTTGTTGATTTGTTTTGTTTTTCCTTGAAATGTAAGGGCTCACCTAAGTCATAGGAAGTAGGTTCTACTGACGTAGAAATAGCTCAAACAGCTCAAAAGCCAAGTCACACAGTTCCTGGACTCCTTTCCGATAAAGCACAATGCTGCACAGAAGGCAACTCTTTCCTTCTTTTTATTTTTATTTTTTTGAGATTATAATCACAACATTGTAGGGATGTATTATTTATTATTTATTAAAGCTTGACGGAGGATTCAGAAAGCAAAGTCAGCCACAAGCTATAGAAGCCTGACACACACCTTTAATCCTAGCAGCCAGAAGCTAGGAGGTGGTGGTACACACCTTTAATACTAGGACACAGGATTAAGAGATAGATGGATCTCTGTGAGTCCAAAACCATCCAGATCTACACAAGAGTAAATCAGTTTAAAAGAGAATAACAGCTCACACCTTTAATCCCAACATTAGGGAAGAATGTAAGACAGAAGCAAGCTCTCAGAGAGGCATTTGGTCTCTAGCTACACTGAGGAGAAGCAGCCGTGTGAGACTTGGTGAAGAGCTCATGGGTGGATCAACCCTTTTCAGCCTGAACTTGAGGTTGAGAGCTAGTGGCCAGCTTCTTTGCTTTTCTGATCTTTAACTTGAAGTTTGAACCCCAGTATCAGTCTCTGGGTCTTTTATTATTTTGTGCTACACAACATTTCCCCCCTTCCTTTAGGCCCTCCCATAGACCCCTCTTCAGCCTCCTTTAAGTTCATAGGCTCCTTTTCTACAAATTGTAATTGCATGCATATGTTTATATATTCCTAAATATAACCTGTTAAGTCTCTATACTGTTACTTGTGTGTATGTTTTCAGGGCTGACTATGTGACACTGGACAACTAATTGCCATGCTCTTCCCTGGGGAGGGCCACTTTTCCTGCTCCCAGCATCCCTAAGTGGTCTGTAGTTCTTTGTGTAGCATTGAGGCCTTCTGGGCTTTTTGCCGTAGAGTTTGGCATGTCCACTGGTATCCTCTTTGTTCAGCTCAAGTTTGGGCTCATGTTGGTGAGACTTTGAGAATGTCCACAGATTCAGCCATAACACACCAGTTATCACACCAGCTTCCATTCTCTAGGAGATAAATTCACCCCTCAGCCTTCAAGCATCCCAAAACTTGTCAACAATTGAGATTTCCTTTCTGAATTTGTGGTACCTTCTTTTCTTTTCTCTTCCGTTCTTTTCTTGTTGAGACATGGTCTCATTATGTAACCCTGGCTGGCCTGGAGGTTACTATGTAGACCAGGCTGGCCCAGAACTCAGAGATCTGCCTGCCTCCCCTTCCTGAGTGCTGGAATTAAAGGTGTACACCACTATGCCTGGTAAGCACCCGCTTTTCTAAGTCGGTGTTTTTAACTATTCTATAAAAGTGGGAGGGGGAATGAGTTCCTGGCCTAGAGAAAAGCATTTCACTGAATGAGGAAAGGAGGTACCTGTAACCATGCAATAGCCATGTCCTTGTTTCTGAATTCATCTTTGGTGCTCTGTGCTGGGGAAAGCACCCACAGGAAGCAACCACATCATGGGCACAAGCAATTCCATTCTCCATTGATAAACTCACTGCTGCTTCTTAATTTGTTTATTTTAGCTGTTGAGTATTGAGCACAGGGCCTCATACTGTACTGATGAGCCACAATGCTCGCCCTCTCTCTCTCTCTCTCTCTCTCTCTCTCTCTCTCT